CAGGCCAGGGCTTTAACACACTGCACCATAACGCCAGCCTCTGCATGATTCTACATTAACAGCACCAAGTTTCTTTGCTAGTGTTTACATGGTGTACCTTTTTATTTTCAATCTTCCCATATCCTAATGTGTAAAGTGTGTCTCTTATAAGCAGCATGTTATTATTTTTATCTCATTGCAATCTTTGTCTTTTCATGGGTGTGTTTAGCCCATTTACATTTAATGTAATTACTGATACAGTTGTGTGTATGTCCACTATCTCGCTGTTGGTGCTCTTACTCCTTGAGTGTAGCCTTTCTGGGTTCTCAATCAAGAGCTGAGGATATTGGCCACAGCCTGTCTACCTTGATGGGATTTAAACCATTATCTCCCCAGTATTATGTAACAATTGAGGTCATTTCACATTTTTAACATCTTAGCTGCTGTTTGCCTGTAATTTTCACTACTTAGGAGGCAGCTGACAATTTAAGAGGTAAATGTATGCAGAGTTCTTAGGCAGCCATCTTTACTTCATGTTCTGGCTACTCTGGCAGGCTTCAACTCTGATCTCAGCCCCGTAAGCCTGCTGCTTCCTACTATCACTCACTCCTTCCACCCTTGCCCCCATTAGGGATTCAGGAAGATGCCTCTCGGAGTAAACCAGGTGAACGGGAAGCTTGTCTCATATGATCACCTGCCTTCAGAGGTCATAGCCTCTCAGGTCCTGTCTGCATTGGGTGCTCTCCAATTCTTCCAACAGCTTTTATCAGGGTTGTGGCAGGAAAACTGATGTAATCCAAACCATGACCCTATGGCCAAAATCAGAACCTGTACTGTATTCTATGTATTCTATTTCCAGTTTGTTTTTTTTTTTTTTTTTTGAGCTTTTCCTCAAAACTGTTCCAGAGTAGACAGCAAAAGTTTCTTTTGGCAGGCTGCTGGCTGACTGGATCCTACTTTTGTTGGTAGAGAATGGAATGACCTCATAAGCTGGACCACAAACAAAGCTAACTGAGATACTGTATTGAAATCAGATAGAAATTTAGGCATTTGTTAGGAGTTATGTGGTTCTGAGGTTATGGAAGGCTTCAGGAGTCTATTGGGTTGAAAATATTTCCATTGCTCAAGATTCTTCTTGAAGGTCATGAGACCTAGGCCAGGAGTGCCAAGGAAATTAAAAACCATTAAGTCACTCGTGAGTGACTTAATGAGAAAGACATCCTTTTGAAGGTAGAATGAAGAGCTAGGCCATTGTATGATACAGGAACAGTGACAACACTGCCTCTTTGAAGTTATGAAGTCATTGACTCAGGAACCAGGAACCAGGTCCATTGTCCTTTGGGGATTCTGACAAGAATCACAAATGCTTTGCCTGCAAACTCAAGACTGCTGAGGAACAATCACCAAAATTACTTAAAGTGAAAGCACAGCTTCCTTGGGTGTAGATGAGAAGGATCTCTCTGCGTGTCTGCAGCTCCAGGTCTCGTACTCTAAGGAAGTTTCTGGTAGCGAGTGACTTTGGGCACCTGCGATGATTATTCTCCTTTTTAGTGGGTTGTGTTTATTTGAACCCTGCCTCATCAGTTGGGGTCTAGTCAGAGGACAAAATCTGCATCTGTTGTTTTAACAGGAATGTGGGAATCCGTGAACAGGACCCCAGCCCCCGCCCTACCCCCACCGCCCCCTCTCCCCCGTTGCTGCTGGACTCAACAGTCCCCTCAGGTGGTGTTGAGACCATGTGCCTCCTTCCACTAGCCTCCCAGGCCCTAGCACCCTCTTTTGACAGAGCCTAACAAGGAACCAGCATCACAAAACACAGAGAGAGCTCCGAGAGACAATAGGGTAGCCAGACAGTCTGGGAAGACTTGGCTTTCTAAGCGTGGAAAGACTTGAAGGAAAGCAAACCATAGCAGGCATATTTCCATGTTCGGGAGGAATCTGCAAATTTGGTGTTTCAGACACATGTGATATTTAAGAGGCTAAAACCTATTAGAGTGACAGTTTTATAACAGCACTTTAAAATGTGTAATTGAAAATTAATTTAGACTTGTAATTTTTTATGGTGACATCCACATTTAAGTAGAATATAAAAGCATTTAACAAGACTTCAGATTTCCCTTATTTATTTATAAGTTGAATTTATTAGCCTCTATAAGAATTTAGGATGCAGATGATTTTGCTTCCTGACAGAAAAACTGAGGTACCTAAAATAGAAATAAATATATTAAATTTATAAATTCATTTTAGTGTTTGAAGTGCTGAGTTAAGCTTGTAAGTAGCACCAGGCATTATTCAAGGACTCCTCTGAAGTCATTGCTGAAATCCACTAGACATATAAACAGAACAGTAAAATGTGTACGCTGAACTTAAAGACCTAAAAAGGTCTTTCAGTTTGTATTTTAAGTTCAATGTTGTTTCTAAAGACAAAACTAAATATATTATTGTCAAACTTATTAAAATACTCATTTAAAGCCATTTTAAACTTAATATTAATTTTTAAGGAAAAAATCCACTGAAATCTTTTCTACAAAAAAAAAATTGTCTAGGTTGCCAGCGCGCCCCCCCCTCTTCCCACCCCTACTGCCTGGGGCCCTGAAGAAGTGGTTGGGAAAGAGCAAGAGATACAGTTAAGGAGATGGCTTTGAGCGTACCAGCTAGATGCCCACATCCCACACTGGAGTGTCTGGGTTCCGTTCCTGGCTCCTGCTCCTGACTCCAGCCTTCTGCTAGTGCATACCCTAGGAGGCCCAAGTAATTGGTTTCCTGCCACTGATGTGTTCTTAGCTCTAACTTCAGCCCCAGCCCAGCCTCAACTGTCACAGACTTTGGGGGCTTGAATCAGGAGATGGGAACTCATCTATCTGTCCCCCTACCTTCCATCTGTCTATGTGTGTGTGTGTAGCTGCCTCTTGAATAAATAAATATTTTTTTTATTTGACAGGTAGTTATAGACAATGAGAGAGAGACAGAGAGAAAGGTCTGTTGGTTCACTCTCCTAATGGCCGCCATGGCTGGCGCTATGCTGATCTGAAGCCAGGAGCCAGGTGCCTCTTCCTGGTCTCCCATGTGGGTGCAGGGACCCAAGTACTTGGGCCATCTTCCGCTGCCATCCCGGGCCACAGCAGAGAGCTGGACTGGAAGAGGAGCAACCGGGAATAGTACCCGGCGCCCCAACTGGGACTAGAACCCGGGACGCTGGCGCCGCAGGTGGAGGATTAGCCTAGTGAGCCATGGCGGGCCTAATAAATAAATATTTTTTAAAGATGTATTTATTTGGAAGATTTGTAAACAGAGAGGAACACATACACATACACACATGCACCGAAGACAGAGACAGAGAGAGAATCTTCCATCCACTGGTTCACTACTCCCCAAATAGCTACAAGGACCAGGGCTGGGCCAGGCCAAAGCCAGGAGCCAGAAGCTTCATCTGGATCTCCCATGTGGGTGGCAAGGGACCAAGCACTTGGGTCATCTTCCACTGCTTTCCAAGGCGCATTAACAGGAAGCTGAATCAGAAGTGGAATAGCCAGGGCTCCAACCAACGCCCATATGAGATGTCCGGATTGCAGGCAGTGGCTTAACCCACTATGCCACAATGCTGGCCCCTAATGTTTTTCTTTAAAGGAGGAGGAGATACAATTTTTTAAAAATATTTATTTATTTATTTATTTGAAAGACGGAGTTACAGAGAGGCAGAGGCAGAGAGAGAGAGGTCTTCCATTGGTTGGTTCACTCCCCAAATGGCTGCAACAACCAGAGCTGCACTGATCTGAAGCCAGGAGCCAGGAGCTTCTTTTGGGTCTCCCATATGGGTGCAGGGGCCCAAGTGCTTGGGCCATCTTCTGCTTTCCCAGACCATAGCAGAGAGCTGGACTGGAAGTAGAGCAGCTGGGATCGAACCAGTGCCCATATGGGATGCTGGCACTGCAGGCAGAAGTTTCACCTGCTACACCAGACTGCCCAGAACCTAATGCAACTCTGACAACACCTGGATCTTAGCCCATGTCTACAGACTTCTGACCTACAGAACTGAGATAAAAAACACGTGTTGCTTTAAGCCACTAAATTTGGAATAACAGTTGTAGTAGTCATAGGTAGCAAAAACAGGTGGTAAGGCTGGGTCCCTGTTGTCATTCAGGTCTCAGCATTAAGTCAACTCGGACAGAGACTCCCTCCAGTCACCCTCTGGGCACTGATGCTTTGCCATATTATCTCACACAGTGGTTTTCATTGTGTGCAATGCTTGTGTCGACCTGACTTCCAGCTTCCTCTCCAGGAGAGCGGACACCATGGTTTATTGTTCATTCCTGTGTCCCTGGCACCAAGGAAAGCATCTACACAAAGTGGAGGCACTGCAAGTATTTTAAGGACCAATGAATGGATGGATGGAGCCGGTGGTGCACTAACACGTCGTGGATGCACAGTGATGTGAGCCTGACTGAGGCAGAGTGCTCCACCGCTGTTCACCACAGTAGGGAGCCTTGGCATCCTGCAGGATACTTATTAACCAGTGCGGGTCACACCTTTCCAAACGCTCTCGATCCACCTTTAGAGGTCTCAGCTAATGCTGCCAGAGCCCTCCTTGGGGTATTTATGCACAGTAAAATACTGCAAATGTCTTCCACCAAACAGAATCAGAGGGGAATATATGAGGAGAGAGTCCGTGAGTACATCAGGTAAGTGTTCCCGCTACTCACGCACTCTGGGAACGAGACGGCATGTTCTAGAGGAGGACCTGCAGCTTAGACTTTTTTTCAGTATTTTCTAAGCTCCACATACAGGCTGTTTCTCCTGGAAATTACTTGCCCATCCAGTCTAGGATGGCAAGCAAACCCCAGGGAAGACTGGCTGAGCTAAGGCTGCTGCCTAACTCTGGAGGAGAGCAACGGGAAAAGGAATAAGGTAGCAGGCAAGTGGGTGTAGGGAGCCTGAGGCCAAGACGCATCAAGATCTAATTTGACTGCTGCGCTTGCAAACTCAATCACGACACACTTGAGGCACTCAGCGTGAGACCAGGGTAACATGTACAAAATGATGTTTATTAAATCCATCTTGCAAACAGACAACATGAAAGATTTTTTGTTTGGGAGCTCATTCAGAGTTGAGAGTTGCAATGGCTTCCTGTCATTAAATCTCAGACACAGGAAAATAGAGCATAAATGATGACCATGAATCTTCATCTCATAAAGGGCAGAAAAACTGGTTAAAACCACTACAGCGATCTCTGCAATACATTGGATGGCTAACACACCTAGAAACACCCACAGAAGCTCTATGTGTACGATCAGAAATATGTACTGAATACCACCTGTGCACAAAGGGAAAGTCATCCACTGCTAACACTCACTAGCAGCTGAGTACCCTGAGCCTGTACTGACACTCCTGTTCTCAGCCCGAGAGCTCATATACTAAACTGATGACTGCTCTCTTCCTCAGATGTGGAAAAGGCATTTAAAACCTATATATCATTAACCTTGTAAACTAAAAAAGCAAACCCAAGCATGATCGATTACTCTGCCTAGATCAATAAATACTAGATTCAAGTGCATGCTGAGTGTACTTGCAAGGACAGAAGCCATCAGTTAAATAAATCATGCCATTACCTACTGAATTTCCACTTGCTAATGCACATTAGTCAATTTGTAGATTTTATTTGACAAATACACAGATATTATTTTTCCATTCAAATTTCTAATTTGATCTCCTTTGGATTTTTTTCTTCTCTCATTCCCTTAAAACGATGAAAATAAAACAATTTTGAAGCAAAATGTCCAAGTCACAGCCATCCAGAGCACCATGCTGGATTTATTTCAGATCTTTACCCAGCAGGGAAATGCCATCGGAGTTTAGATGAGCCTAGGGGGCTTCCTCCGTGGACAGCTTCACCTGAGCCTCTTCCTGCCATGCCAGAAGTCGCGGGCTCTCACCTGGAGACTTCACCACCAAACTTTTCAAAGGGCCAGGAGGAGCCTTCCCTCTTTGTGTGTTGAGGGTGGCGGGGGTGTGTGAGGGAGGCCAACAACTACAAACAAGAGGACAGGAATCCAAGGTGAATAAAACACCCACAGACCAAGAGGCAGCAAGGTTGAGGACATAGCACAGGACCAAGGCCTGCTGCCCCAAATAGCATCTTGAGCCCTCACATGTTTGAAATTCCAGACATGTCTTTCATCACAGGGAATAATCATTCCTCCAGAAAGTCCTGCCCACATGCCCTAACTGAAGCACGGGCACATTCCATCGGCCGTGGTTCTCTGCTCTTCAGGCAAATTGAGTCTCCCTTCCCGGTGCAGCTTTTCCTGGAAACCACAACACTCACAAACACAGGCCATTCTGGATTCGAGTCCTGCTGCTCCCAGAGCTCAGTGGCATAGGAGCCCTGCCCACCACAGATCATTTTGTCCTGAATCACTTCCAGTCTCCTTTCCCATCGGGACTGCTTGTTGCTTGGTTTGAAGGAAACACCCCAACCCCCGGCCCTTGGAAAGGAACAGTGCAAGATCCTACGTGCAAATACTTGCAAAGGATTTTGTGAAACAATATACATTTTAAAAATTCAAGTCAAATCCAGGTATACAGACTCTTGCGTTGGTGCCCAGACCCTTAACACCCACGACGGGAAATTGATCCGTTTCTGAAATGAGAGAGGGGTGAAGGCAGCAGCTCCTCCCGCAGAGGTGAATTCCTGGGGCTTGGGAGGAAGCCCAAGAGGAAAATGCTGAGGCTTCATGAAAGACAGGACTGCTGCCTCCTGGGGGCCTCCTGGGACGGAAGCCAAGGCCTTTGTGTGAGCAGCACACAGGATCTGGATGCAGGTGAGGACAGACTCCCGGGCACCGGCGGGGCAGCACTTTCCCAGGAACTCTGAGAAGCTACAGCAAGGAAGGCACGTGGCAGGGCTTCCTCTATGCCACATACGGGAGGGGGTGCAGGTGCCGCTCTACCACCTCTGCGCCCCTAAGCTTCTGCATCACAGGGAGCCTAGGGGGAGCTACAAAGGGCAGCACATTCCTGAGGGTTTGGCGTGGGGTCCACAGCGATGCTAGGAGCACTGGGATGTATGCTTGGGCACCTCAGGTAGCTCGAGATCCAAAAGGCCCAGAGATGAGGCTGTGAGTCTGGGGGGCCAGGCCCGAGGTCTGGAAGTGAACAGCAGGCAGTTGGGTCTGTGTGGCTATCAAGAGCTGGTCACAGTGCCCATCCTGAAGAGGTCTGTATCAAGGGACTCCCCCTAGGGCATTTAGACCAGGCCTGGCCCACAGTAGAACCCCCTGGTGGCCCATGGGATGGTCCTCATCCAGGTTGCAAAGCAGCAGCTGGAAGTCTTGGCAGTGGTGGCTTAGCTGAGAGATGCACAATTCAGCTCCGAGTCCTCCTGGCTGTCTCCTGCCACCTCCTCCAGGCCATCGGGGCTGTCAGTGATGTTGGGCTCACTGGAGCACTGCCGGTGTGGCGGGGGGAAGCTGGGTGGCAGGAGCAGGCACTTGTCCTCACTGCCAGCCTCCTCCCCTAAGCCCGAGTGCATCATGGTTGCCATGGCCAGCAGCTGGATGTCCGAGTGGGCATTGGCCACTGTGTGCCGCCGGACACTGCCACACTTCTCCAAGTAGGCCTCGCCTTCCTGCTCCGTCAGTGGAGTCAGGGCCATCTCATTCAGGGGCCGGCTGGCTGTGGTCATCGGGGAGCCATAGTTCAGGAGAGTCACCTTGGGCCGGACCCGGGAGTGCCGCCTGGCTGCAAGAGGAAAAACCAGCAGAGGCTATGACTGGGAAAGGGAGAGGTGGTCTAAGCTCCTAGTCCCTCAGGGAGAAGAGAAGGCACCCCAGTCCTTAGGAGCAGCATTAGGTGTGGTCCTGCTGGAATGTGGTGGTGGTGGGGGGGGAGGGAGAACTTGATGATGGCCAAATGCATCTGTAGCAATCTTACCTGTTGATACCAGACCCTGCCCCTGCCCACCCTCCCCCCCCATATTAGGTGCTCACCAAAGACTTGCCTCAATAGATTAGGCTCAAGGAGTGCCCCCTCTTTCCCAGCTGCTGCCTGAACTTCAGTGGGTTTTTCCCTAAATTCCCTTTCAACCAATCTCCTCTGAAGATCTGAGCATTGACTGGGGTTGGCTCCAAAGAAGGCCTTGGGCCCCTTTTAGGATGCAGCCACTGCTGTGCCAACAGAGGACGTGGATGAGGCCTCGTAAGCTTCAGTCTGGAGGAAGACAGCTGAGCCATCACAGCCCAGGCAGTCGGACCCTCCTCCAAGTCCTACTGAACATCAACTACCACAAGGCCGCTCCTCTCCTTCCAGGTTAACGGTCTGAGATGTGTGTGCAGTTCAAGTCAGTTTTCCTGGATTCAAACAGCTTTCAGCACCATCAGAGAAATGGCTAGTCTCCATGGATGACCCCAAGGAGCCAGACACAAACAGGAGGCCTAGAATCATTCTATAACTGCGGCTTGTCGAGCTCTTGCTGTGTTCCAGAAACTGTGCTAAACTTTGACATGCATCTTTTGAGTCCTCCTAAAAACTGAACTTACATCAGGACGCATGCTCTGCTCCCACTTCACAGATGAGAAAACTGAGGGCCATAGGTAATAACTTACCCAAGGTCACCTAGCTAGAAGGTGGCAGAGCTAGGGTTCAAACAAGATCGGCCTCCCAGGAAAGCCTCCCTCTTCCCAGCTGGCCTTGCAAAGCACACTGATAACTCCCCGAGGTGAACCTCTTCAGGGGAGGACAAGCGAAGTGCACGGGACTCAAAGGCCAGGGAAAGCATCTCCCTCTGGGGAAGATCAGGAAACTTGCCAGGGAGGATGCACATTGGAGACGCACCCTCAGGGTGGTGGAACTCCCAGAAGGGGGCAGGGATCAACAGCACTCGGAGCAATGGAACAGCCTGAGAAAGTTGCTGGGATGCGGCACCCCAGGCCACAGCCTGGCTGGAACGCAGAGTCCCTGAAATGACAGGGAGGAACTACAGCAGGCAGCATGAGGGCCCTTGAATGCCAAGTGGAAGCATCTGTGATGCATCACACAGGGCACGGGCATGGCAGGGCCTGCGAGGGGCACAGGTAACACTGCAGGCCGTAGGGCAGGATGGGTTGGAGCCACAGAGGTCAACTGTAAGGGAAGCTGGGGAGAGGGCTCTGGCATTATTTGCTAGAATAAATATGGTTGCATGCAAGAAACAGAAATGAACGGGAACATCAGAGTCAAGGAGAGAGGTGATCAGGACAGCAACCAGAGTTGTACTGGTGGTGAGAGGGAGGTGAGGAAGAAGACTGCCAGAGATGCCAGAGAGAACCCAGCAAAGGGGAAGGCATGGGAGCTGTCAGAGGGTGATGGGCACAGCGCCGGGGACAGAACAAGGCAGGGGCAAAAGCAGACTTGGGGAAGGGGCTAAGGATGGAGAGGGAGCAGCTTGAGCGTTCCAGAGCTCGGCTCTGGCCACATGGAGTCTGGGACCCCAGGGCCTCCATGGGCAACCCTCTGCAGGCAGGTGGTCTGCAAGTATGACGCGGGGGAGGCATTTCCATCCAAAAATAGGGATTTGGCTACTTTCAAAGAATACTGAAGGATTTAGAAAATGTTCACAGGGGCCAGCGCTGTGGCATAGTGGGTTAGGCTGCCACCTGCAGTGCTAGCATCCCATATGGGTGCCGGTTCGAGTCCCGGCTGCTCCACTTCCACTCCAGCTCTCTGCTATGGCAGGGAAAGCAGTAGAAGATGGCCCAAATCCTTGGGCCCCTGAACCCACGTGGGAGACCCAGAAGAAGCTCCTGAGTCCTGGCTTCGGATCAGCGCAGCTCCGGCCATTGCGGCCAACTGGGGAGTGAACCATCGGATGGAAGACCTCTCTCTCTCTCTCTCTCTCTCTCTGCCTCTCCTCTCTCTTTGTAACTCTTTCAAATAAAAAATTAAATATTTTTAAAAACATTCACAGTATATTTGGTGACTAAAGCAGAATATAACCAATATGATTCTTTTTTCTTCCCTTTTTAAGCACAACTGGAGTTATCCTGGGTGTCGTGCTCACACACAGCATGAAGGGAGAAACAGTATGCATCAAAGTATCAGTCATAGCTGCTTCTAGCTAAAAGGATTAACAATGACTTAAAACATTTCTGGGGCCACTGTCTGCAACGCTGGCATCCCATATGGGTACCAGTTCATGGCGCAGCTGCTCCACTTCCAATCCAGCTCCTTGCTAACAGCCTGGGAAAGCAGCAGAGGATGGCCCAAGTGCTTGCACCTCTGCCATTCACATGGGAGACCCCAAAGAAGCTTCTGGCTCCTGGTTCTGCCCTGGTTGTTGTGGCCACTTGGGGAGTAAGCCAGACGATGGAAGAAGACCTCTTTCTCTGTCTCTCCCTCCCTCTGTAATTCTGACTTTCAGATAAACAAACTTTTAAACATTTTCTTCTTTTTAATATTTTCAAACTTTGATTCTGTGTGTATGCATTTCTTTTTTTAAATTTAGTCAAATTTTTAAAGATTGCTATTTATTTGAAAAGCAGAGGAAGGGAAGGAGGGTGGGCGAGAGCAGGAGAGGGAGGAGGCAACTTCTGGTTCCCACCCCACATACCCACTCCAGTCAGCACCAGGCCAGGTTGGAAATCAGGAATCTGGAAGCCAATCTGGGTCTCCCAGGTAGGCAGCGGGGACCCGAGTACTCAAGACACCACTGTGGCCTCCCTGGATGCATATTAGCTTGAAGCTAGAATCAGAAGGGGAACTGGGACATGAACTCTGACCTCCAATGCAGGATGTGCCAAATACCTGTCTCCATGCATTTCTCTTGTAATGACAAAATGTGGGAGGTTAGGAAAATTACAGAGTCACCTGGATTTGGGTAATGGTTAGAGTGAATGTGACCCCTTCACAAATTAGGGTAGTGCTCAAGGACTAAATGATTTCATATATACCTGAGTGTAGGAGTGGATAAAATGAGAGGAGTCACAGAAAATGTCAATGAAAGTTCCAACAGCTAACACATAGGCCAGCAGTTAAGAGTATCAGGCACCCTTCTGAGCGTGTTGCTACGATGAACTAATTAGATCCCGGCACCCCAATGAGATGTAGGTCCTGTTCTCATTAGTGCCATCTCACAGGTAGGAAACTAAACAGGAGGCAGAGCAGGAGCGTGGGCATCAGCACCAGCAGCCGGGTGTCCAACCAGTGAGTCCTGCTGCCTCTAGGGGAGGAAGGACGCTCTGGGGGCGGGGGTCAGGGAGGCAGGAGAAGAGCCAGAGCAGTCAGGGAGGCCAAGGCCAGGGAGGGAGCAGAGCACCCCTGCAGCATGGGCACTGTGGGGCAGCAGGTTAGGTAGCTGCTTGGGTTGCCCACATCCACAGCCCAGTACTGGTTTGAGTCCCAGCTACTCCACTTTCCTGCTAATGTGCCTGGGGTGCAGCAGATGATGGCCCAGGCACCTGGTGACCCTCGTGGGAGACCAGAGTCTGGGACCACTCCAAGCATGTTGCCCTCAGGCCCACTGAAGTCGCCCACCTATGCCACTCTTGAGGCAATGTTGCCTCTTCTCCCACTCAGGCATAGCATCTGCGTCAGCAGACAGATGCAGACCACAGCAAGGCGGAGGAAAAGACAGAAGCTGGTGCTGAAGGCATGGCGGTGCCCAGAACACGCCCACGGCGGCTGAGGAATGGAGGGGGCAGTTCTCCTCGAGGCCTCCTCTCCGCCACACACACCTCTCCCCGGCCTTCACCTGTCACTGCTTCCCATCATGTCCTTCCTGGCACCCTCACCCACAGGCCAGGGCAGGGCAGGGCAGTGGGGAGCAACAGGGAAGGGCCTGATGGGGTCACTGCCCCCACCCTGATCTGATGGGATCGGATGACCCAGTCTGTAAGGAAGAGCACAGGGTGTGGCTCATAAATCAGCCTTAGTGCCACTCCAGCTCAGTCTCTGACTTTCCCAGTGATCCGGAGGCCCCTGCACACACACATCGGCGCTTCCAGAGCTCAAGCTCCTGGTGGGTATCACGGGGAGGCCTGCCTGTGTCCACCTGCTCAGCTTGTAGCTGGAGTGGGGTATGTGTGTATGTGTGTAAACTGATCACAAGAGACTTTAATTCTCACCCTCGTGGCCCACTATGTGAGACCACTGACTCAGAACCCAGCAAGATATCTGGTGGTAATACTTTTTCTAAACCAAATGTTAATGTGCAGAACTAAACTAAACGTTTACAATGTGCTCTGGTCCGTAGTCTTGCTGTTCAGTCCCCATCTCCCTCTGATACCAGCAGGGCTGGTCTCATTATCCCCACTGCAACGATGGCAAAGATCATGGCTCAGCCCCAACTCTTGGATTCCGAATGGCAGTGCCCAAGTTTCCCCATTACCTGTTGCCATGTTATAGGGCACCACCGCTGCTCTTGGAACCCACCAACCCTCTGAAGTTAAAGAACAACAGACCCCATGCCCCAAAAGGCTGCCGTTTGTCCAGAGCCTAGGTGTTTGGCCTCTCTTTGAGGAGCAACCAAGAGGAAGACTCTGTGCTGGGAGCATAGAGGGTCTTGGGAAGGCAGCTATGCTCACCACTATACCACCAACACGTACCATAGAGGGTCTTTGAAGTACAGGCTCTTGTCCCCTCTAAGCCACGCATTTCTCTAATGTTCCCATGTTCTTATAATAACCATGCATTACCTTTATGATTACAAAAATCAATAACTATAAAACAGAAGCACTGTAAGAGTTCAAAGCACCAAGGACCCCATT